TTAAATCAAGAAAATTAGAACTTCTATGCGTTTACTGTACTACGACTGTATGTCTACATGCAATGGTGGATTAAACTCCGGTTTACAGCTGATGCCCCAACCAATGATTTGATTTTAATCAAGAAGCTGAAAAAGTTTGCATACCATGATTCTATAATTGTTGACAAAGGAATAAAAGCTCTTACCAGGCATAGTTAGTATATGAATGATGAGTTGTCTTCATTTCAAGAAAGCTATCCCAAAAAGGGATGACTTTCTTAAAAATTGTTCAAAGTCTTCAAGTAGTCAACAAAGCTGCTGAAAGAGAAGTAAAACAATACCATGATTTCTTATGTGTAAAAAAGGACAAAGAAAGGTTTTAAGGATATACTCTAAGTAATTCACTGCTCTGAAATTTGACCGCCAAGTTGAAATGTGTGTCAATTAACAAATTCTGACTGATTTAGTCTTTACTGTTATATAGCACTTTAAAACAACTTATTTTAAAATCGAAGTTCCTTGCTAAGTATGAAAAAAAACCATATGACCCCTTTGATTTAGACAGGGGGGCATTGTTTACATGGTGACCAGGTCTTAACTCCAAAAGAATTTTTAAATTAAATTTGAAATCTTTTGGTAAGTTTTGATGATATTTAAGATTGTATAAATTAAAAATATATATTTTATTGCCCTCACAAGTTAAATATAATTGAGGTATTTTGTAATACTCATTTGAGATCTTGGATCAGTCCCTTTAAAATTCACAACAAAAAGGCTACAATGCATAAATTATTATTTAATATTATTTAATATTGATTTCTTCTTGTGTTAAAATCAACAGCAGCTTTTTTTAAATGTTCTCCATATTTACTATGTTCAGTGCTGACTTTATATCTTTTCCAGGTAGGTTTGAACTTAGCATGCACTGCCTCACCAGCTTGTTCTGCAAAATGTCCTAGACCTATATTATGATATTTTAGAAAAGGAATTATGTGGTTGACAATAATATGTATTTTTCATGTAATTTTGAAACATGAATATCACTTTGCAAAGATTTAAAAATATCTTTGATAATTATTTCATATTCTGGGTTTAAATGTTTTCCGAAAGCTGCATCTTTTACTGATTTAAAAGCTTGCAAACAATTTATTACGGATTATCATGAATATCACTTTGCAATGATTTAAAAATGTCTTTGATAATTATTTCATATTCTGGGTTTAAATGTTTTCCGAAAGCTGCATCTTTTACTGATTTAAAAGCTTGCAAACAATTTATTACGGATAATATCAGATGCTGGTGTACTGGGATTTCCTTTATAACAGCTTGTTCAAGAAGATCTATTTTTTTTAAGTATTTTATTAGAATTATTTCCGTCCCAACCAACTCCATGATTGCCTCGAAAAATAATATGATGTAAAGATAGTCAAGTTTTAAATCCAGGATCATATATAATTAGCAATACTTTGCCTAAAACTCCAACTGCACCCATCATTAAATGCAGTTCTGGTGGAGCTATCTTATAAAAAATTATTGTATCAGGATCCTCACGTTCTAAGATCTCCAGAGGTTAAAGAACATAATTCTGTACAATACAAACATGCATATTTCCCAGAGTGTGAAGACAAACCCAGTACAGCATTTGCACATATTTTAAGTCAAAAGTCATATAAAATTTAACTTCTTTCAGCTTAAGTTTTTATATAACTAATCCTAAATTTCAATTTCAGATTCAAGAACGTCTTCAACTATAGCTAAGATCTGTAAACGCTGAACTCCACTATCTTGATACTTTGAAGAAGATGAACGCAGATTATCAGGATCAAACACATTACAAGCAACTTTCAAAAAACCACCACATCCATCTACAGCTATATTCACAAAAGCTTTAAAAGGGTCGAGATTCCTTTCATTTATTATATTCATTATAAAATCGCTTGTATTCTTAACATAAGCCAAATTGCAATCAATTTTTGACCCTTGATTTCCTCTAAACTAAACTAATTCTGCAAAATAAAAAGATTCAACATGTGACTGAAGTTCATTTAGTTTACCAAATACATTTTTAGTAATACAATTTGATCCAAAAGAGCTTTTTAGACTAGAAACCAACACCTGAGTACTTGCTTTTGGAAAGTTCCAAAATAGTCTGTAAAGTTAGCAGCATGTGAAAAGGCATCATACTTTAAGATTTAGATCTTTCTGATTTTAATCCTGAAACTCCTACAGTTATCTGAACTGGGTTACCACCTGTTGATAGATTAAATGTTGCTCCTTGTATTAAATTTTCGTTATCCATTTTCGTCTTAATAATATTTAAAGCTTGTATAGCACCAATAACAAAGGCTAGATTTGTAAGGTTTGTAACTGCCTGACTTTTACAGCAATTGTGAGGTCTTTGAGCACCTAAAAAAAAATTGGCAATAAAAAATTTTATATATATATATATATATATATATGTATATATATATATATGTATATATATATATATATATATATATATATATATATATATATATATATATATATATATATATATATATATATATATATATATATATATATATATATATATATATATACATACATATATATATATATATATATATATAAAAAACAATGTTCAATGTGTCATTTTTTTAGAGATATCATTTAATTTAAATTAGTAAATCAAATTTGCAGGTGATTTAAAATTAAAGATTTTTACCAATAATACCAAAATAATGGTAGCATAAATTCTCTTTCGTGTCATTGACAATTCCAGATTCTACTGATTGGACAAAATCTACTATGTTAACACCACACCTGACTACTGTTTCCTTGTGTATCTATAACAATAAACAAAAATTTAATTCAACATCAAATACAAGTTCATATATGAACAATGTGACGATGAACATTGTGAGTAATAAATTATGCAAAATAAAAATGATTTAAAATTGTCATTATAATATTATATTTTGTATCATTTAAAATGCTCAGAATTAAACTTTTTTTATAAAAATTAAATTTTTATAATGATGTTGATACCTCAAGGTATCAACGTATCAATTCAAAGTATCCAAGTGGATAATTTTGATAACCAAGAACTTCTTGCAGTACTTTTTTCTGCGTCAAGTAGATATAGGTTTCTTTGACAACTAGTGTAAATCATAGTAAAATATGCTTCTATGTTTGGATCATATTTATAATTAATAAAAGTATTTTTTTTTTTGAAGGATTGGTTCAGAAACTGATAATAACTTCTTTGATTATTTTATTACGAAAACATTTCATAAAAATAGTTAATAAGATAAAGCAACTAGCAAAGTACCAGGTTTAAAATTAATTAGATCCACATGAATTCTGGCACCATAACAGGATTTTGTTGGAAGATGAAAAGTACTTGCACTTGTAAAACTTACATTATAAGTCTTTGTATTTGAATTTGTTATTGGGCATATGGTCATGAAATAACTTGATCAATTGGTCAAATTTGGAGTTGATAAAGGTTTAAAAAAATTTTTTCACATTAGTAATACTAACACATAATTGTATCCAAAAACGAACAAGTGATTGCTCACACAAAAAAATTCCAAATAAAAGCAATGCTAAGAAACAAATTATGGATCTTACATCATCAAAAAACTTTCAAATTCAAAAACCCCTGTTTCCCATTGCCAAACTGCAGCACCACCCAAAAATGTGTCTCTACAGTGTAAAGGATTATGAATCAGTTCATCATCTTTTCAGTACTTACTGGCAAAGATTCAAACGAGGGATCGGTCATTCAGAATATGCCTAACGATTTCAGAACTGTTTTGTTGACTTTATTTCTTTAACAGGAAATTTTTGTAGAAAATTTAAATTATTTTTCTTTATAATTTATTTATTTGTAAGAATCAAATTTTAAAAAAATAAAGAATAGATTTTTTTATTAATTATAATTTAATGAAAAAAAATGTTGTTTTGTGAGTAAGGTATGTCCTTATTTAAAGTATAGAAACTTTGAGTGCAGTAAAAATGACAGTTTTTAGATTATGTTGTTTTTCTGCTCAAATGTACATTAAAGAAAAAAACAAAAGTTTGATTTTTTTTTTTCTGTGACTCAATTGTTTTTGATTTTATCATTTTTAGTAACTGGAATTTATTTTTACTGTGTATAAGTGGTTTTTTTGGATCATGACATTGATCAATCCACCAAAATAAGTAAAAATTAAAACGATATGTTAAAGACAGTTAAAGATATTGTAACAAGTAAAATAAATTTTCGCTTTGCGTCCCTTCAAATATTTAATAACTGTTTTTTGTTTTTAAAGATTTAAAAATGAAAAATAGTAAATTAGGATTTCAAAAATGCTAATATTCTATACAATGTATAATTTACAAAATTGTTATTTATATCCACAATTTTTTCTAACCTTAAAATTTTTTTATCTGTTTATAATTTATGTACGTAAATTTTATATGAAATACTCTCTTACTATATACGAAACTTTCCTATGCTTTCCCCAATCCAACGACTTTATTTTAAGTTGCTAGCTCACTGAAGTATCAACACTACTACTTTTCACATTGCCCAACAGCGTGACAACTGCAGAAAGATTGAAAAGAAGATATACAAAAAAAAAATAACAATGACTCAATACCATTTTTCTACACTAAACTTATGAGCTATTAAAACAGAAAAAGGAGCACGATTTAATTTAAAAGTTGTATTAGACCAAATTTCATCTATGAAAACAAGAAGAAAAAAAAAAAACTCCATTTGATAATTAAAATACTGCACTATTAAGTTGCTTTCTATGTCACTCAATTAATATAGTGTTTTAGATAAAGCTTTTGTTTTCGTGTTGGGCTGGGGAAGAAGTAGGTTAGGAGCCCGGTTGAAAATTTTGCTGGGGATTTATAGTTTGTGTTTTTTTTTATATATATCCTCCTAAATTTTATTTTAAAGTGTTATAAATTTTTCCTTCTCTATTGATCTCTATTGATATTTATAAAACCTGAATGTTTATTAGTATAAGTTATAAAAAATTTAGCTTTAGATGTTCAACTTGGTTCAATTCTTGGACGCCATTCGATAACCAACAAGCTGTACGCAATACATCGAAATCAAAAACTATATTTGACGTTCAATGAGTACTATAAGAATTGGTTTGCATTAACCAACGATGATTTTTTAAATAATGTTTCGAAAAATATTAAACTTGATGCAGTTAAAAACTTGGAAGGTGACGAGGATCAAATATTTATTTTAGATTCGAAGGAATGGAAGGGTAAAGTTATAAATATAGTTGTTGCTTAAGCGAAAATTTTTCCCTATTTAGTACTAATCTTAAACAAAGTGTTAGAATAAGTTTTTAAAGATTTTTTTATTTTTAGCCAATGCTGATGGTTTATTTTTCCGAAACACATCAAGCGACTCTTGGACAAAAAGAGCAAAATGGTTAAAATAAGAAGTTACAAAATCACAGATAACATAATATTTAACAGAGTACGTCTTTTTGCCTACTATGACCCAAAAAAAAATTTTACAATGTTAGTCGTGATACAATAAAATAAGCTATTAAAAGCCCTAATATCACCATTGGTATTTTGGAGCGGTTTTTGAATAATATATTTCTTCAGAGTTTTTTCTAAATTTTTTAAAAAGATTTTTGTATTGCTTGTAGATAAATAATTTGACTTCATAGCCAACAAAATAAATTATTCGCGACGTTTGAATTATCTCTACTTTTTGAAAATTTTAAGTTATTGACAGTGTTATGTACCTTAACATAATGTTGTTTATTGTTCTATACTCATTTATGATCTCATGACGTATATGACTTGGTTTTAAATTTTTTTTTACTTTTAATTTTAATATTGTTAATTTTTTTTTTATCTCACGATAAAAACCTATTCTAAAGTTACGAATCAAAAAAGCTTGATGATTAGACTTCTAATTGCTCCTTTCATTATCTTAAATTTTATCTTATTATTTATAAATGTGTTCACGTATATTATACTCGATCCCTTATATATAAAATTAAGGTTAAAGATCAGTTAAAAGGTATATAAAGCCAAAAAATAGTTTAGTATAATACTATTTTGATGGTTAATAAACTCTGTCGTTGTTGCGCACTCGGTTTAGAATGTTTAACGGTAAAATAGCTGTTAAACTCTAAATTTCAATATTAAATTTTTATTTATCGTATATTTGGCCCTTAATTTATCCAAATCAGAATTTAGACAAAGATCTTCATTAATACTTGGTACGAAAGTTTTGTAATCTAAAATCACAAGGGAATTTCTATCAAATAGACTTCAGATATACGATAAAGTTCTTGGCTGATCTACCAGATCCTCGCGTGTTAAGGTGGTGACTACGTAGCCCCAGGTGTTCATTAGACAAATTTGTGTTATCAATAATGTTATAATTACTCAGTTTTAAATTATCGTGGTAAGTTAAGCTTTTGCATTATCAAATCGACGATTTGGTATATATTATTGAACAAATTGGCTATAACTTTTCCTAACTTATGCATTTTTTTCCCGTTAATTCTAATTAAGACAGAGTTTCCACATAATAAGATTGTTCCTGCTGGCCATTTATAATTGTCAGTTTGGTTATCATTATCAGCATTGCTTGTTTGTTTGTTTTTTTTTTGTTAACGTAACGATAAACTTGAACAACATTGCTTACTTGTTTTTTTATGAATTTTTTTTTTTACATTTTTTTGCTTTTTTTTTTATTTTTGCATTTGCAGAACGAGCATTTTGTTTTCGTGCAAGATTTTTATGAATTAAAAAAATGTAATGCATTTTTTTGCTGACCGAGTAAAGTTGGTTTTTTTAAACTTATGATTTCATTAAAAATTTATTTCAACATTAAAAGTAATTGTTGCTTCTGCTGGTTCAGAAATATTAGACTTAGATTTGAAGTAAAAATATTCTTTAATAAAACTTTGAAATTAATTTGAACACGTTTCAAAAAACCTAAATTTATTTAAGGCTAATCGAGGTAACGTTTATCAAACTGTGTTACAAAAAACCCAAATTTATTTAAGGCTAATCGAGGTAACGCTTATCAAACTGTGTTCATTGTATAAAATAAACATCTCTATCAACCTAAAAAAAGCATTTTACAAAAACTGTTTATTAAGTTTGTGTCATACCTCAAATTGATACTTATTACAAAAGTTATTAATTGGCAGTTGATAACAACTTAAGTTTTAATTTACAATAGCAACTAATCAAACAATTCTACTTAAGTTTTAATTTATAATAGCAAATAATCAAACAATTCCTCCAATTAAGACACAAAAACATTTTAAAAGTTTTTAATTTAAACGACAAATTGGGCATCTTTTGTTTCTGCCATGTGCAATGATATCTGAACACTGAAGACGCATACAAAAGTGTCTATACGGCAGAACAACAACTTCTAAAGGAAGTGCAAGGCATATCTGGCACAACGTCTCAACAGGCCTGGTTTCTTGTTGAAAACTTTGAACTCTTTCTGGTGGATTTTTGTCCTAAAATTAAATTTCAAAAATAAAATTAGATAGAAACATTTTAATGGTACCTTACAACACAAAAATTCTACTACAGCAAATTTTATGTTTACGTCCGAAAACATAAAATTTGATATCGTATAATAATGTAGTCTTATCACCCAATACGAGGTATTGAAATATCAAACTGAAACATTAACTGCACCATATTATTTCATTTTCAGAAATATGTTATGATGTGCATGAGCTTTGACAATTTAATTTACTTGCTCTTGTTCTGTATTTCTGACTGATGTGAGTTTGATTTGATTAAAGAAAAAAGCTGAAGCCCTCAGAAACTTTGTTGGAGTCCACTCTCCTGTGGAAAGTTTTTCTTCATAACTTTGTAATCGTTCAAAAGATCAAACTCACTCTCTTCTTTGTCCTCTTCAAAATTGATGACCATTCTGTGATTGGTTGAGTTCCAGTTCTGCATTTAGGATTACCTATAAAGTTTATAAAAAAAAATCTATTGATGCATTTTTATAATAAGAAATTTAATTTAAGTAAACAAAAATTAAAATTGTAAATGAAATAAAGATTACAAACGTATCATCAAAATGGTATTAAAGGCAGATATGAGCCAATTTAATGAATTTAAATAGAGTGATAGTGAAATTATGATAGCTAATTTATACGATGATCTGCACCAATCAGAAGAGACTCTAATACCTTAAGAGATTACAAAGTAAATCAAGTTACTTTGTTATGAGTTAAATCGATAGAATTGTACAATATTCCTGTACAATATTCATTCAAATATGGCAATACCTGATGATATATATTGTTAAAAACCTCCAGAAGCTAGGGTGAAGAGAGTGAAGAAGAAGGGTGGGCAGCGATGCATCTATTCATTTTTGAATGCAGTGATTCAGAGACATTGTTGGTTCTAAATTAAAGTCCATGCACAGAAAAAAAAGCAGGGGTTTGTGTTGTTATTCAATACTTCTCAAAGTAACACAAACTTACGTAGCCCCAAGTGTTCATTAGACAAATTTGTGTTATCAATAATGTTATAATTACTCAGTTTTAAATTATTGAGCTTTTGCATTATCGAATAGACGATTTGGTGTACATTATTGAACAAGTTAGCTTTAACTTTTCCTAACTTATGCATTTTTTTTCCCGTTAATTCTAATTAAGACAGAGTCTCCACATAATAAGATTGTTCCTGCTGGCCATTTATAATTGTCAGTTTGGTTATCTTTATCAGCATTGCTTGTTTTTTTTTTGTTAACGTCAGGATAAACTTGGACAACATTGATTACTTGTTTTTTTATGATTTTTTTTTTTTTTTTTTTTACATTTTTTTGTTTCTTTTTTTTTCTATTTTTGCGTTTACAGAACGAGCATTTTGTTTTTGTGCAAGATTTTTATGAATTAAAAAATCTTAATGCATTTTTTTGCTGACCAAGTAAAGTTGGTTTTTAATATTTTTAAACTTATGATTTCATTAAAAATTTACTTCAACATTAAAAGTAATTGTTGCTTCTGCTGGTTCAGAAATATTAGACTTAGATTTGAAGTAAAAATATTCTTTAATAAAACTTTGAAATTAATTTGAACATATTATTTCATTTTCAGAAATATGTTATGATGTGCATGAGCTTTGACAATTTAATTTACTTGCTCTTGTTCTGTATTTCTGACTGATGTGAGTTTGATTTGATTAAAGAAGAAAGCTGAAGCCTCCAGAAACTTTGTTGGAGTCCACTCTCCTGTGGAAAGTTTTTCTTCATAACTTTGTAATCGTTCAAAAGATCAAACTCTCTCTCTCTTCTTTGTCCTCGTCGAAATTGATGACCATTCTGTGATTGGTTGAGTTCCAGTTCTGCATTCAGGATTACCTATAAAAATCTATTGATGCATTTTTATAATAAGAAATTTGATTTAAGCAAACAAAAGTTGAAATTGTAAATGAAATAAAGATTACAAACGTATCATCAAAATGGTATTAAAGGCAGATATGAGCCAATTTAATGAATTTAAATAGAGTGATTGTGAAATTATGATAGCTAATTTATATGATGATTTGCACCAATAAGAAGAGATCCTAATACCTTAAGAGATTACAAAGTAAATCAAGTTACTTTGTTATGAGTTAAATTGATAGAATTGTACAATATTTCTGTACAATATTCATTCAAATATGGCAATACCTGATGACATATATTGTTAAAAAACCTCCAGAAGCTAAGGTGAAGAAGGGTGAAGAAGAAGGGTGGGCAGCGATGCATCTATTCATTTTTGAATGCAGAGATTCAGAGACATTGTTAGTTCTGAATTAAAGTTTATGCACAGAAAAAAAGCAGGGGTTTATGTTGTCATTCAATACTTCTCAAAGTAACACAAACTTTCTCATTTTTTTACGATTTTCAGTATTTCCAAATCGACTCATTTCTGTTTTAAATCTACTTAAATCTGTAGTAAATCTACTTCTGCTTTTATAAGAGCACCAGACAAGAGGAACATGGCAACGAATTTCCGGGCTCACCTCTTAATTACAGGGCTGTTGATGTACTTAGATTGAAGACAAACGGCTCTGATTTTTCTCAAAACTGCCTGGCCGTAATGAAACCGGCAACTAATCAATCTTATTTATGGGAAGACATCCTTCAAGGCACTGTCTATTGGTGCTTCATAGTCAGCCATAGAAATTCGTTGTTGAAAGTCACTTGAAATTTCCTTAATTTTTCTAAATACGGCGAAATACCTTCTTTTCTTCCAGTCATAAGTACAAACACAGGAAGGACAATGTTACAATGCACAATGGAGATATTTAGTAGTTGACCTCTTTTAAAGATGCTAGGAACAACGCGAAATGTTGCATCAATGAAAATAATTGTAGAGTTTGAAAAAAATGAATAAATTTGTAAGAGTTTTGAATAATATTACAGAAATTGAACATTCTGAGCAAGCTAAGGTTAAAAGGTGTTGAAAGAATTTCTAAAAAAAAGTTACACAAAAAGTCATCAATTTTGAGCTAAATTACTGTGCTACCTGAGAGTATTTTTAGTGATGAACAAAACAGTATAGCCAACTGGTCTTCAAATCTGACGATTCCTTTCAGAATGTTGGTAAATAGATTTGGCTCAGATATTGCCAATACTGCTTCTTCTACGCTGTTGGGATTTCCACTATACTGAGTTTTTCTAGCACCACGAAGTATCTGTTCACATTCTAAGTAATGTAAAGAACTTTTAACATTTTCAGGAAATTCTTGAATGATTTTCATGTAAATCTGGCGTAATGGAATTTGTGTAGTTGAAGCTTTCAGTCTCATTTTTTCCATCGCTTCCAAATGGCTAAAACCTTCTGCTTTGGAATCACAAGAGTGCCCTTGCATTGCCTCAAGTAAATTACTTCCTTCACGTATTTTTGCAGTTCCAACACACAGTTGATA